AAGAGAAGATCCAAGCCATCCAAGAGTGGCCGACCCCCTCCAGTGTAGGTAATGTTAGAAGCTTTCGTGGACTTACTAATTTTTACAAGAGGTTCATGAAAGATTTTAACACCATCACTGCACCGCTTATCGAAGTTATGAAGGAGAACGTTGTGTTTAAATGGGGAGAAGAACAAGAGAAGGCGTTCCAGCTTATTAAACACAAGCTTACTCACGCCCATTTACTTGCTTTACCTAACTTTTCTAAAACGTTCGAAATCGAATGTGATGCTTCTGGTGTAGGTATAGGCGTTATTCTTATGCAAGATGGGAGACCACTTGCGTACTTTAGCGAGAAGCTAAGCGGGACTGCACTTAACTACCCCACTTATGACAAAGAGTTGTACGCATTGGTCCGAGCTCTAGAGACATAGCAGCACTACTTGTGGCCAAAGGAGTTTATGATTCGTATGGATCATGAATCTTTGAAGCATTTGAAAAGCCAACACAAGTTGAACAAGAGACATGCTCGATGGGTTGAATTCATTGTGACTTTTTCCTATGTCATTCGGTATAAACAAGGTAAGGAAAATGTGGTTGCAAATGTACTTTCACGCAGGTATGCCTTAATATCTACTCTTGATGCTAAATTCCTTGGTTTTGAACACATTAAGGACCTTTATCATGATGATCACGAATTTAGGGAAGTTTATAGAGCTTGTGAAAAGGTTGCAGAGGGTAAGTTATATAGGCATGAGGGCTTCTTGTTTAGAGAATAAATTGTGTGTGCCTAATTGTTCAATGAGAGACTTGTTAGTTCGGGAATCCCATGGTGGGGGATTAATGGGACACTTTGGAGTCGCCAAAACCCTAGCTATGTTGCAGGAGCACTTCTATTGGCCACACATGAAACGGGATGTTGAGAGAATTTGTGGTAGGTGTGTCACTTGTAGGCAAGCTAAACGAGGGTTCAGCCAAATGGTCTTACACACCTCTACCTATTCCTAGTTCACCTTGGATTGATATTTCAATGGACTTTGTTTTGGGTTTACCTAGGAGTAGGCGTGGTAGTGATTCAATCTTTGTGGTTGTAGATCATTTTTCTAAAATGACTCATTTTATGCTTTGTCATAAGACTGACGATGCTTCTCATGTTGCAGACTTATTCTTTAGAGAGATTGTGAGGTTATATGGTATGCGACCGGGATGCTAAGTTCTTAAGTTACTTTTGGAAGACATTATGGGAAAAATTAGGAACGAAATTTTTGTTTTCTACTACTTGTTATCCTCAAACCGATTGTCAAACAGAAGTAGTTAATAGGACTTTATCCACTTTGTTGAGGGTTGTCATTAGTAAAAACATTAAGACGTGGGAGGATTGTTTACCACATGTTGAGTTTGCTTATAATCGTACCATTCATTCTGCTACTAAGTTCTTACCATTTGAAATTATTTATGGTTTTAATCCTTTAACTCTTTTAGATTTATCACCTTTACATGTTTTTGAGCATGTGGACTTAGATGGTAAAAAGAAGGCATAATTTATGAAGCAACTCCATGAGAAGGCACGGCTCAACATAGAGAGAAGAACCGAACAATACATCAAGCAAGCTAACAAGGGACGTCACAAGCTGATTTTTGAGCCCGGTGATTGGGTATGGTTACACATGAGAAAAGAAAGATTTCTGGCACAACGACGTTCTAAGTTGCTGCCCAAAGGAGATGGTCCTTTTCAAGTGCTAGAACGGATCAATGACCATGCCTACAGACTTGACTTACCTGGTGAGTACAATGTTAGTGCTGCTTTCAATGTTACTGACTTGAGTCCTTTTGATGCATGTGATGATTTGAGGACAAATACTTTTTAAGAGGGGGAATGATGAGTACATCAGGGATGCAAAGAATACTCACAATCCAATTCAAGTCTCAGTTGGTCCGGTGATGAGGAATTAAGCTAAAAGATTCAAAGAAAAGTTGAATAACCTAGTCCGGAGAGTTCTACAACAAGAAGAAAGAGTCTTCACTACTTAAGGTGAAAAAAGGCTAATTTTACTCATCAAAGTTGATCCGGAAGAGAGCCAATCAGTCATACACGTCCATTGAGCCATTGCATGGCCAACTTGCATGTCATTCCAAAATACACATACAAGGGGAAGTCCAAGCAGATGTGGGCGTGTTTTCCAGCAAGGGATCAAGTCAAGATTGCGGATCAAGATTTGATTTCGTTATAATCCTATTTTTAGTTTTAAGTTTCAATTTAAAATTTGAATTCCATTATAGGCGTGTTTAGAATGAAGGATTTTGAGTCAAATTCGGATTCCTTCCTAGGATTTGTTTTAGGCGTGTTTTATCTCATTAAGGGTAGATTATAACTTTTACAATTAAAAACTCTTCATGAAAGATTCAACTATTTAAGGCTAGCTTTCAGATAATGCAAAACAGTTTTTGTTGTTTATTCATATTGTGAGATATTCTTCTTGAGTTCTTGAAGAAAATTTTCCAAACTTATCAAGGATTCCTTGTGGCGTTCAATTTGACTTATCAAACGGAATTTCGATACTCGTTTGTAGCGTCTTCACCATATTAAGGTTCTTGCTTGGCTAAGCAACGGGTCGCGATTTTTATCAATCTTGAGAGGTCTTGAGTCATATTCCAGATTTGGTATCCGGTTTCGTCACGTTGTTGACGTGGTTCATATTACGTGGCATCTTATAATTTACAAATGGACAAATTTTGATAATCTATTTATCAAACCTTTGATTAGTTATAGTTCAAAAGAGTATAAATTTAAAAGGCAATGTTAATTTAGGAGGGGTCCATTTTAAGGGATATTTTTTAAAATTTCTCTTTTTTTTTTTCTTGCTTGCTTTCTTTCTTTCTTTCTTTCTTTCTTTCTTTTTCTTTTTTTCTTCCTCTCCTCGTTCTTAGTAACCTTAAAAGAAGACATCCTAAGAAATGTTTAATTGAGGGGTGCAGAATAAAAAGGATGAAAAGAATTGAAACAGTGTATGATAATTGTTGTAGTGTAAGACGCCGAACTCTAAATAGGACCTTAGATACACCCACACGCCTTAAATGAGAACACTAAATGATCAATGACAGCTCAGCCCTAGACGCCACATCAGTAGGCAACTCTCTTAAGAGCAAACCGCTAGAAAGAAATCAGGCATATGAAGAAAGAGGTCGACTGCTCAAGAAGAAAACAAAGGACAACATGAAGCCGACCGTATCCACAAATGTAGGTGAAGAAACTTCTGAAAGTGTTTACGGAGTCGAGACTACACAAGAGATGAGATTCGCTAGATTTGCTCAGAGATTTACTATTGATAAACCAAATATATGAAATTTAAATAAGAAAACCGTCCTGATTAATTGTAATATCTATCTTTTAAGAAACTATCTCAAAAGATAAAAGGAAATAACTCAAATTCAAATATGAAAAGTTTATGGGCGGTGACTTAAGTTATAAATAAAAGATTATGAGTCAGAAAATCCCTAAGTCTCATTTTAAGCATTAGTTCGTGTATGCTCTTCCAAAGTAGTAAATTTCCTCTCCTCCTCATAGTGGACAAAGCTCTCAAACCGATGGTGAACCACTATAATTCTTGTGTGTTCCTGTTGTTTAATTGCTTTTAATAGTATTTTGGTTCATTTAAATCGCATTAACCGTAAAGAAATTCATTATTATTTTGTTGATAAATTTTTATCAACAATTGGCGACTCCACTAGGGACGAACCCAAAATCTCTAGTTAACGCGAAGAATTCCAGTGAGAGAATTGATATGAAACCATGCCTCCAAGAAGAACAAGAAACAACACTGCAAATCAAGGCAGCCAAATTGAAGATAACACCGTGAATCAAGCCAATTAGGCTAATGGAATTTTTTAAGGAAAAAAAAAAACATATGATAATGAAAACCTTTCATTTTAATATTAAGAATTTCTCTTGTGTTCCCTCTTTTTTGAGAATAACGGTGTTCCATACTTATCAACCGTCAGATCTGTTTTACTTTTTCAATCTGATTTGATTTTTGACTAGATTCAATTTGATGAGTAGTTCTAAAAAAAACACCAGAAAAAGTCCCTTTAGTATTTCACAATGATATTTTTAAGGGTAAAATAGTCCATTTAAATATAAATATTATGGATCTTTTCATTATTAGAAGTAGTTCATGCACCCAGAGGGAGAGATACATCCCTTTAATCTCTCTTCTCTTCTTCCTTCTCTCCTCCCTCCAGCCAAACAAGGTATCACATCTTTCTCTCCAATCTTTAACCCTGCATCTCTTCCTCCAACCACATGTGAAGGGAGAGATGGAAGGATAAAAAAGGGTGGAGGTAGAGTAAATCTCTTGTTTAATGAGAAGGGAGAGAGTAAAATGAGAGGAGATGAAGGAATAAGCACTATTATTAGACCCACAAAATGGCCCTACAAAAGTTAATCCGAAAGGATTCATAAAATACATCAATTCAAGCTTGGAAAGGCAATTTATTATTAAAAAAAATCATCAAGAAATAATAAAAATGGCAATATAGTAAACAAATAACCGCTCATCTATCGTTTCAGCACCCCCTCTCACCATCTCTTACCAAGTAAGATAAAAGATTAATATAACCCTCTCCATCACTTCACATTCGCTATCTTTCAAACTCTCTCCATCCTCCCTTCTTTGATATTTCCAACCAAACGGAGGCCAAAATTTTGGAGGTTATATTGACTTTCTTATCTTCAGATCTGCACATCTTTTTCCCCGTGGGTTTACATTTATCAGACATAAAACAGCAAATATGGCCCAAAATAAAATTCTCAAAACATCCAAAATACTTTTCATCTCATTCATTGGTTAGTCAAACACTCAAACCATAAAATGTCAACAAACAAGTAGCATCACATGCCAAATGAAAAAGAACATATCTATATTAAATTCAACGTACTTCCAATAATATTTACATTGTACTTAACATGGTACCAAAAAACAGGAATGTTACCCTCACAAAATCATCACTTCCTAGTTCGTTGACTTTCCCTCACTTCTCTTTCCACTTAAAAGAAGCCCCAAAATAACAAAAGGTGGGGTGTATTAGTGTATAATATCACTTCCATAATTGAAAATTCAAAGTCAAACTATCAAAAAGAACAGTAGAATTATGCACTTAGAGTATACCTAAGTATAAGAAAGGTTCAAACTGTTAGATCTACGTTAAAATTAATGTGATGTGATCCGCGGTTAAAACGCAGTATGATATTTTTTCACACCCCACCACAGAATTCTCCAAAGAACAATAGAAGCCAAAGACAACTATATGCCTAGTAGGGTTTTCTTCACTTTATATCACCCCAACTACACCTTTAAGAAAAAGAACCCAAAAAAAATAAAAATAAAATGCTCAAGCAAAAACAGATCCACAAGACAAAGACATCAACAAAACGGCAGCTTGTTCTTCCTCACTCAACTTCCTCTTCCTACGACACCTCTGTTTTTTCACAACCGGGCGGGACTTTTGTGACAAAACCTCTTTTCCAAAGTCGTCCAATTTCACTTTCAAGGTTTCATTGAAATCTTTGTCTTTGCCAACACTAGTGTTTGTGTCGTTTGTTAAGGTGGTACTATTACTAGTGTTGGAATGAGTGTGAGTTCTCTCTCTCTTAATCCTCTCACTTGAACTCCCTGTGCTCATACGCATTACAGAAACCATCTTTTTCCTGTACCTGATCCCACAGGCGTTGCATAGAGACTGGGAAAAAAAAAAAACCCAATTTAAATACCATTTGTTTTAACCATGATGAAGAATCATCATAAATTAACTACTTAATTCAGATGTGCAATTCTATAATGTGATAATTCATAATCAAAACCCAAATGTCAATAAAAAAAAATTATGGCCAAAAAGGTTTAAGAGATTCGGCTTGAAAAGCCAAGACTAGAAAGAAATTAGACCGACCCAATAAACAAAATCACAAACCCGAGTAATTAAAAAAAGAAAACAACTAATTACACACGTATGAAATCAAACGGTGGAAATACAGAATACATAAGAAAGAACGACCACTACAAAAGAATTAATTAACGACAAGTAAAGTAAAGAAAATAATTATTATTTTTTTATAAAAAAAGGATTTGGACTGACCTTGGGCCCAGCTGGGCCTCCACGCCACAGGGGAGTCTTCGTGGTCCTGCAATCAACACAGGATCTTTTATTCTCATTTGCTTCAACATCACCAAATGATTCCTGTTTCACCAAAACGATATTCCATATCACCAATCAGAACAAACGTGTATTACTCAACAGAAATGACAAAACCAAAAACTACAAAGTTCATGATCAAAGTTCAAAAACCTTAAAAACCAACCTTTTCTGCAAGATCCATCGTGCCCATTAATCACTAAGAGAGAAAGAGAGAGAGAGAGAGAGAGAGAATGAGCAAGTGGGTATGTGTCTAATAAGACTGAAAAGCCATGATCATTTCTCAATCAAGCTCGAAACCCAAGAAAGACTTGAAACCAGAGAGGCAACGATATGTATTGAGCATAAAACGCTCTATAAGCGACCGACATGCAAATGGGTTCTGAGAATTCAAGAGGCAGAAGAGAGAAAAACAAAGTTAGAGAGAGAAAGAGAGTGAGACCGACAGAAAGTGCCCACTGGATATGCACGAAAACCCTAACGAGGGCTGCAAACTCTACCGAAACAGTGAGCGAGTGAATTAGTGGGATTTTGTTTATTTTTAATTTCAGAGTTTTATCAAATGACGAAAATGCCCTTCCTGAAGATTTTGGGTGTGTGTAATAGTAGGGGTGACGTTGCCCAAGCCAACTTTTAGGGAAGGTTTGGTGGACGCGTGGCAATATGCAAGCGTGCGTGTTTCCCTCACTCGCTGCGATTAAGGGAATCAAATTTACTCGCTCTGTACTCTATTTTGGTTGGGTTTAGGAATTTAAAAGGACACACATTTGGGGAACTTAGGTTCCGTTAACTAAGAGGAGTGGAGAAGATGAGGGATGGCGAACGTGAGATATGGAGAGGATTAAAGTATTTTTTTGAGTTGTTTAGTAAGAGGAAGAGAGAGTTAAAAAGGATAGATGAATAAATATTTATTTCATTATTTTTTTATATTTTTTTAATTTTATATTAAATCTTTTAAGGATAAAATGGTTTTTTTTTTTATTTTAATAGGTAGATTTTATAAATCTTTCTATTAGAGTAAGTGAGTAAAATAGTGGGTCTAAATAGAGAGAGGCTCCCTCACCTCTCCTCTCTCCTTGTGTCCCTTCAACTAAATAAGAGATTAGGATTTTCCCTTTATCTCCCCATCCATCTCTCTCCTATCAAACATATCCAGGAGAGGGATACGATTACTTGTGGTTTTGAATGTAAGAATTTTGCAATTAAACGTTGAAATTATAAACTTGCAAAGTGTTGATGTCAGAAATTACCCTAAATTGAAGTTTAAGGAATTTCACAAAAAATAAAAATAAAAAAAAATCTATTTAGTAGGATATAGTTCTAAATCGTAAGATCAAACAAAAATTATATCAAATTAACAAAAATAATAATAATTTGACATAATGTAATAAATACTTAAGATCTGTTTAGTTGATGTATTTAAACTATTAATTCTGATTCTGTTACAATATTTTTTCTCATAAAAAATTGAATCAAAAAATTCCCAACAATGATTCACTCACAATGTTCTCCCCAATAAATCAGAATCATTAGCTTAAAAACATACACCAGTTGGGCCCTTAAACATTTTATATTTTGTAATAATAGTAAGAAATATTTAGAGGAGAATTTTAAAAATGTCATTAAAATAACACTATTTTATTTCTCTAGGTTATTCTTCATAACCTAAAGATTATTCTTTATAACCTAAATGTTATTTTTCGTAATATGCAAATTATCACTTCATATTATACATATTATTTTTTGTAGTAGCATTAAAATTTTGTACAATAACATAAATAATAGGGTTGAAAAAACACTAAGACCATCTCCAATGTAAATGTTAATGTCAATTGTATATTTATCATAAAAAAATATGATACAGTATGTTGTTCCAGTTATATTGCTATTTGAAATTCTAAATTTATTTTTTTCTCATAATTATTAAGTTTTGAAAGTTATAAAAGTAAACTTTTTTATTTAAAATAATTAGAAAATATAAAAGTTATAATAATTACATGAAAAGTAAACATTTCAACCAATAGCAATTAAATATTAAATTTTTCATATGCTATATTTAATGAGATATTTGTCACAAAATATAACATAGAAAATTTGACACAATAAATAGCATTGTATTGGAAAATATTTTTTTCACTCAAATGTTAAATTTATAATTGGTATATTAATTATAATAATACATTAGAGATACTTTAAATGACTCTTGAATCATAAGGGATGGACCCTATGTCCTTGTGGAGCTCAAACAAGACCCACCCTTATGCGTACGGAGCCATAGTTTCACGAAGCTGTATAACACACTAAAAAACAATAATTAAACTTAAAATTTTGTCTTTCTCTTTATATATATATATATATATATATATATTCTACCCATAGTGCTTGCAATGTATTTAACTATGTTTCCCTAAAAAATAATGGCTTAATGGTGGAAAACAATAACGCATATATGCATATGTGTATTTATCAACTTCTTTATTCAAAAATACTACAAACAAGTAGAGCATAAATTGGGCAACACCGCTGTACAAATGACCTGTATATGTCCGGCAAAAGTATAAACCATACCTTATGGAGTAGTTAGAAATATTTTATCTCTTATTATTCTAATTATTACACCATAAATTATGTGAAGCCCTTTTTTTTCTCATTAATATAAACTATATAAAGCTCTTGTTCATTCTAAACCCACTGCTTTTGGTTTGCCAAAGGTATGAACCCACTTAAAGTACACGTATGGAAATAAGACAAATACGGAAACGCAAAGAAGGAACACCTGTGTCTTGCGTTAGGTGAGCTGTTTAGGGAAAATTAAGGAAGAGACAGAACCCATATAAGAAGGATTAGGAGACACTTATCGTAAACTTTTCTTTCATCTTTTTAAGAACGTATTATAAACGAAAAGTGTGCATTATATGCATGAATATGCTTAACCAATCATGTTCATTATTCTCTCTACGTAAAGTTTTTTCATTTTACCATATGTAGGCTGCAATATTTCAGAGATTTTCTTTTGTTTGCGGATGTACACATATCTTATTATTGAAAACTAATTCAATCTTTAAAAATAACAATTGTTACTGATGGGGCAAAAATACATACCCCACGGTATATTTTTTCCAACTTTTAAGACAAAATACTGATGGAAAATGCACTTAAAAAGATATTAACTGGAAATTATTAGACTAGGGTAGAGAAAGCACAAAAGTCAAAAACATGTTCTAGCAACTCATATTCTCCTTTCAACTTTGATTTTTTTTTCTTCTTCTTTCGTTTTCTAATAAAAAACAACTTATCAATATAGTGCGGATTAGCAAAAAAGTCAATATAGAGTGGTCTGTCCAAATAAATTTAAGAAGAAATGTATTTCTCATATGATGTATAAATCCACCATATGATATATAAATCCATCACCAAGATAAATTAGCTTGGTGTTAAATTCCTTATCCAATCAATGTGTTTTTATCAAATAGTTTAGATTGGTATTATCACACTCATCGCATAAATACACTGCGTTGGCTAAAGATGACACACTAAAGTTTGACAAAGATTATTAAGATTAGCTCGTGTAAGTAGATCATTATTATTTTGTGTTGGGGTCCAGATAAGAAAGAATCTCAACAAAAAGGACTAATCAGCAAAATAAAGTACGCCCTTTTCAGTTTTGATCATCTTCTTTAAGAGAATGACTATCAGATGCACTAAAAAAAAAAATCATGTGACAAAATCCTTCCAATATTAAACAGACGTGAGCAAAAAGACCATCAATACAATAGATTTCTAAATTTAAAGAAATAATTGTAAGAATTCTAAATTTAGAAATTGATTTATCTAACACGATAAATTGAGAGGGTAACCATGTAAAAAAAAAAACTCGTTCCTCTGAACAGAACCACCGACAGTGTTCCGAAAAGGCCAAAAAAGAGACTACAGTCTGGTCATGTAAAGCTCTCTCTCCAATAATATGAGAAAATAACAAGTCGAAATTGGGAGTAATGGTGCAAGTTTGCGGTAAGCTTTTTCATATTCCCTATGCTTTATGCAATTTAAACCATATTTTTCTGTCATCAAAAGAAGAGCCCTCTAAAATGTGACTTTCTTCTTCTCTCTAGTTAAAGACAAATCTGTTCTGTGTTTCCCTCGATAACATCAAGCCATGTCACAAATGTTTCCCTTTCTTTAGGCTCCAAAAAATAAAAATTCAAGAATTTTGCATAAATTATAAACTTCACAGTTTACTCTCTCTGAGGAAAGATAAATAAAAAAAATTGAGAAAGTACATATCTTAAAAAATTATATTCGGAAGTTCCTCGAAAAGGGATCAGTCGCGTGGCACGTGTTTCCTTAATTTTAGGATTTGAATCCTTTGGGATTGGACTTGAAACTTACCAGGGGACTTCAACATTGATATCTTGTGATCAGGGAAGGAAAATCGACATTTTTATTGAAATTTTTTACTATAGAAATAAAGGTGAAGTATATTTTATACTAATTTCATGAAATTTTTATAGAAATTTTCATAAATTCGATATTCTTATGAAATATCCATTTTGAGAATAACATAGTGTGATGACCAAATATCATGAAAATATTATTGAAATTTCATAGAAATATTGGTAAAATTTTCACAAAAATTTATGTAACTTTACATATACTTTCAGTTTACTTTTCAAAAATGTAAAAGTTATGTTTTTTTTATTTTTTTATCTGAACTTAGCCTATCTATTTTTTCGTTCTTTACTTAATTTGTGAACACGTACTTAACATTTATGGTATTATGATCACATAATTGGTATTTTGATTGAGAGTTTCATCTAACTAATATATTATCATATATTTTAGAATATTTTAAAGTCTCATTTGAAAAATAAAGAGTTTTAGTATGAATTTCCATTATTACGTTAATTTCTAATGATATTGATATTTCCGTAAAATATAAATATCGATATTTTCATTCTTATTTGTGATGTGGCATTAACTGAATAACGTTCCGATAATTAAATTTTGAACCTAACAAAGGATACATCGAAAGAACACTGAACGTCTCCTGAGATTGAGAGTTTAGGGTTGACGCTTGTTAATATTCTAAAAGGAATATCTTGGAATTTCCTCAGTCACTTCTATTAACTAGTTATGTATATAAACCATAATGAATCCAAAGGTTCTTTTCAATACATTTGCCTATAATAGCACACTTGGTTTCATATTTTAGTGATCTTAGATATTGTATCCGATCCTTTACTCTTATATTTTGTTATTGAGTAATACTAAAGATATCAACTCAAATTTTATTTTCTGTGTACTAACTAATGTGATATGTGAGTTGTTATCTTCTTATTATTAAATGTAATCCCATTTATTAATTGACGTGATAATACTTTAAACACCCACTAATAAAAAAGTGAACTCATATATCATATCAATAAATACACAAAAATTAAAATTTAAGTCGATATCCATAACATTATTCTTTACTATTTTTCATTGTCAAAATTGTTTATTAGTCTTAACGCAGGAGTGCCCTCCGTAGATATAGCCCAGAACCCCATACGGCAAGGAACAACAGAGAATGATGGTAAACGGCATAATAGGAACAAGAGCTGTTGAGAAATCCACTCCACAAATTATTCCTTGATGGTAAACGGCACAGTAGGAACAAGAGCTGTTTAGAAATTCACTCCACAAATTATTCCTTGTTATGTACGACCTCATGATATACATATATTTCCAATCTGTACTATTTCATTAACCGTGTGATACCTTATTTTACGTGCAAAGATTTATAACTTGTCCATTTCCATCCAAATTCAAAAAAAATTTAAATTTAAATTACAACTTTATTTAAATTTATATTTTTTTTATAAAATTTAAATTTAAAATTAAAATCTGAGTTTAAATTCTCCCTTCAATTTAAGTTCATAAACTCAAACTAGTTAATGAACATTATTTTTTCTATTATTAAAAACATTATAACTTTTTCATTTTAATTCCGATTGAGATGATTATTTTTTCTATGCATGCACAACGAAGAAACGAATAAAACTCCACCCATATACATTATTAAAATTTTCTATCACCATTGAATTTTTAGTAAAATACTATCCAAATATAAATTCAAGTTTTGATCCACCAAAACACAAACTCAAATAAATTTTCAATTCAAACCATAACTTAAAATGTACACATCCAAACACAAACTCAAATTAGAGTCATAACTCAAACCATACTCAAATACACTTTAACTCAAATTAAGATCTAAATTTTAGACATTTGACGTCGGAGATCTGAAATATAGGGGATGTACCCGCTGCAACCCTTTCCCAATTATTGGAAGCGTTGCATTGAGTTTTTTGCACATATTTCTAATTCTACTACACTGGCAAATAAACACATAAAGAACTCAACAAGTAATCTAGGTATAGATACAGAAGTAAAAAATAAAAAATAAAAAACAAAAATAGTAGAAAATAAGTTAATATGAAAAACTTAAAAAAATATATAAGTCAATTTTTAATTATATAAATTAATAGGTCATAACTTATCAAGATATGGTTCAAAACCAGATAAATTATGAACAAACTTGTCAAGTTATAATTCATAACCAGACAAGTTATGGACAAAAACTGTAAATAACTTGTCAAGTTATGATTCATAACCAGACAAATTATAGACAAAAACAGTAATTTAACCTATTTATTAACTTATGTAAACTATTAACCTATTAAATTTAATTCATCTCAAATCTTAACTTATTTTCTTCTTTCTCCCAATAAAAAATAGCTTAAAATAACTGTAAGGTATGGCCCTGTTTTGAATGGTTAACCCTGCTGATAGATGACTTTCAATTTTGCGTACATTTTCGTTTTGATATGATTTTATCATCAGCTTTTGGTTGCATTGAAGACACTCCACACAAAGAAGAAACTTTGGAAATACAATCCATTACAATCATGGCTTTCAAAAAAATCCTATTCGAGCTGATTATACACCTAGATTAACAGACACGAGACAATCCGGGACAACCACATTTATCCTCCAGGGATCTTAGCCAATCAGCCAACGTTTCCGTTGCCAATTTGTAAATAACATTACAAAAAGTATCAGGACGAAAATGATAAGCATGCACTTGAGTGTAGAAATTAACAAATCTTATATCAGAACAAGTCGATATAATCTCTCATTTTTTGACCTGATAAACAAGTTCACAAAATCTCGTCCCGATCTACATCAGCAAGTGCACACAATGCATAAAAAGAAATAAGATCCCATAAACTATATCCAAAAAAGCAAGAATAAACGCATGAAAACAACTGTCTATAGATAATAAACCTTTCTCTTGATAACAAGAATTTTTTAAACAACTTCTAGCATCGGGACAGTGGACATATCCCCCCGGACGACTGAAATCTTAAACAACAACTCTTGAAGCTCCCCCCAAAAATTAAAAGTTTATCACCACACAACATACAACGGACAGGAATTGAATCCTCAAACTAGAAAAGCAAAATATGAAGACTCTTGGAAGTCGCCAAAATGACTTGGTATCAAACCCATAAGCAACACTTTTAGCTACAACACTTCTATGAAAAACTAAAACAAAGGGAAAACGAAAAAAGAAAAAACAAATGAAGAGACTCTTGACATCCGCTGTACGTGATAAGCCCAACTAATGGGGACAACCACTCACCAAAAATAGAACCCCGGGGTTTTTTTTTTTCCTTTGGCAGATGCTTGTGAAATAACAAATCGAATAAGTCCTCATGCTTTCTCAATCCGACTATCGTTAAAACCCGAGCACTTCACTTCCACCCTAAAATTCACAAAAAAGTGGATTCAAAAATCTAAGTAAACATCGCACCGGAGAGCTGACTCAAATCTGATCGTAATTGAAGCAGTTATTCTCAACGACTATAGCAAAGAATCCTCTAAAGATATTAAAAAACCAAGAGTGAAGCATGAAAAACTGTACAAATTGTGCAAATAATACCTTTAACTGAAGTTGAATCCACCGGAAGGCACGGAAGGAACTTGGTCTCCTCCAAAGTTGAATCCAGATTGAGAAGCATCACCTGGTGGCATTGTATCATCCTCTTCCTCTAGCCAGTATGTCTCGAGAATCTTTACTGCCTTCTCGTATATCTCAGTGTTGTCATGACTTTGTAGGTTCTCAATTTTCTCCAACCCCTCAGCATCATCAATCAGCTGAGCATATTGATTGACGCCCCCAGTATTACCCAAATTCTTCTCAGCTTCTCCAACCTTCAAGATGTTCTCAAGACCTTCCAAACACACAGTAACAATCCTAGGGTCGGGGCAGATAAGAAGATCACACAAAGGCTTGATGCACCCTTGACTCACTAAAAACCTGCAGAAGACATATCATCAGCACCAAAAATAACTGACAATACACGACATTTAAGGAAGGGGCCACATACTTGATTTGCTCATGAGAACCACCAGATGTAGCATTGGAGATTGCCCAAGCAGCCTCCTTTTTAATATCAAACTCAGCATTTTGAAGCAGATTAACAAGGGGGCCAATTATATTAGCCTCAATGACAGCCTATCAAATTTTCACCAAGCACATATGGGTGTAGATTAGATTGGGATCAAGTTTCATATCACTCATCACCATGGGTTGCAAATGGACAACAAAAGAGAAGACACTTGACTAATGTTAGATAAGTTCAGATATGCAAAATACCTGAATCTGGTCCTTGTTTCCCGCTGTGATATTCGATATCGTCCAGCATGCTTCTTTCTTGATGCTCTTCTTATGATTGGTATTCAATAAATTCAGCAAACAAGGTAAAGCTTGATGCTGAATGATGACCTGAAGAGTAGTAACAACAGCTAATTACCTCAAGACTAAATCACCGACCTAAAGTAAAAATGACAAACTTCTAATATACGTTTTGAACTACAATTTAAGAACACATTGATAAGTAAAAACTGCACATAGAAAGGCAGGTTATTGGAATTTGAGAAGGTATAACTTCTTAACAACATATGATAAATGAGTTTTGCATTAGAGAAACTTTCATGGAGGGAAAAGAATTAAGCAAATCACTCTTAACAACATAATATGTATTTTTACATTTGTTGAAACAAGATTCAAGCAAATCACTCTTGTTGCACAGAACCATAGTATTAGTTCATGTCTTCATGAGTCGGACTTAACAAATATTTTCTTTTTCAAAAGTAAACGCACAGACTGTTTTGCTGTCTTTTCCTTGTAAATAAAAGCAAATCAATATGGGATAAAAATAAACCATCTAGCCCAAGACCAACCAATACCTGCGTTTGCAAATCATCTCCAGTGACAATATTTCCAACAGTACGAAGAGCAGGAATTAGTACTGAAGGAGATGGATGGCTGGAAAACAAGCATAGTTTCAGTAAAAAGTTTTTTACAGGAACCATATAGAAACAGCTCAAAAGCAATTAAGGGCTATAAAACACTCACAGTAAAAGCTCAACAAGCCGAGGGCATACTCCTGATTCAATAACTGCTTGAATTTTATCATTTGTTCCATCAGAAAGGTAAGAAAGTGCCCAACATGCATCTGTCAAAACTTCTTCATCATTTGAATGAATAAGGCGTGCAAGAGCTGGAAGTGCCGGCTTAACCTGTGTTAATGATCAACCAAATGCCCTTCAGAATTCCAAGTCGCTCAATTCATATAAAGTCACATGACCAAGGAACAGTAAAACAAATATACGGAATGTAAGGAGTTATCAATTATAAATGCAGGTATTGTTGACTAAAAGTTGAAGCCACTTGATATTTCCAGAGTCATAGCAAAAACAATCAAACCTGTTCAAAAGAAGGTTGTGGCTTGCCCCTGCAGAAGTTTGAAAGTGTCCATGTTGCATTTCTTAGCATAGAGAGTTTGGCATGCTCATTTAATTGTGCCAGCAAGGGAACCAAGGCCCCACTAGTGAGCACAAGATCACGACATCTGGGAGAATCACCAGCAACATTTCCTAAGGCCCAAACAGCCTACAAATTTTAAAGGGAGAAATATGTCAAGAAATTGATGCAGTTGTTATAAATTGATCAACTGAACAGTACATCCACAACCTAAGATACTACTAAGGAACACCAGCCTCTCCTTCTCTTCCCCATTTAGGAGTCGTCTGAGGATAACTCAGTCATAGCCATTGGTAGATTGAAGAGAGGAGTGTTGTTTATGAAAGGCATGTACTATGAACTGAATACCTAATAAGACACTCCATTTGCCATAAATAAGGTGCAACATAGAAACACACACAAAATATAAGATACTCCAAAAGAAGGAACAGCAATATCCATATGCTTAAAATTCCATACCTGCTCACGGACGTCATCACTCGGAGAGCCAAGAAGTTTAACAAATATGGGCACAGCTCCATGGTCAATTACCACCTTTGTGTTCTCAGAAGTCCCAGAAGCAATGTTTGTGAGAGCCCAAGCTGCCTCAAACTGCAGGAGGATAATTACAAGCATTAAGAACTACAAAATTGTATGCACTACAACATTAGGGACCCTTGTGAAGGTGTGTAAAGTAACCTGAAGCTGAGGGAAATCCTCTCTCATCAGAAACTCAACAAATCGAGGGACGACTCCAGATTGTATGACCTCCTCAATCGGAGGACTTCTTTCTGTAGTGGAAAAAGCATCATAAATAAACAAATCTAATAAGAAAAAAGTTGATAAATAATTACACAGCAGTAGCAAAAGTGCTGACCAATTGAAAGCAGCTTCCTAAACTGAGTGGTTGCCTCCAGCTGCAGAGCACTATCATCAGACCAAACACCCGCTACCATGGACGGTAGATGCTCTAGCTGCATTAGGAAAACCAAATTAAAACAAGTATAATCCAAAAGGACCACAACTAGATCAACGACTTCAACCGATCTCTCAAAAACATCTTCATTATACAGTTAGATTGCCATTAGAAAAATGAAACAAGAGGTGGACGGAGGACATTAAAGTAATTTATATTTATATCTATAAACACATATACACATATTTCAAGAATATACAAGTGCTTAGTTTCAATCATTAACAACATTTACAGAACATGCCTCCCAAACCTTAAAACTCAGTCTGAATAAGATTACACAAAACACAATTTAACACTGAGCCCAACCAAGAAGTTGGACAGCCCATATGTAATCCAATCAACCCGCTGTTCTCACAAAACAAATATCATGATATGAGAGCCACAAAATGACTACATTATTTAGACAATTTAATACCAGAATGTAAAGTCGCCTAGCAGGAAACAAACTACCAAAAAAAAAAAAAAAAGAAGGCAAAGTTCATTCTTTTCCAACAGTTAAAATGAAACAAACAGTAGACTAAGTCATCCACTTAGCTAATCCATCGAAAGCCAAGCAATTCCAGTAACTGTTCAAATCAATCCGAATCAACAAATTAACGAAGCAAATCAACAAAATCAATCGCATTTAAAAAGCTTATCAGTGGATTAGTGAAAACAATACAAAAATTCTCAAACACAATGGGAAATGAAAAAAAAAAAAGAAGTGATTGGAGACCTTCTTCTCCAAGGCGGAGGTGGGGACAGAAGCGGGCAATTGCTGGGGCTGAAGTCCCTCGCGGCGCTTCTTCTGGAGGCTCTCCTCTCTGCGGCTCTTCCTGATCTCCACCATGTTGTCCTCGCGACGGCGCCGGCCCTCCTCGGCGTCGACGGCGACCTTGTACCGGTTCCGGCGGACCTCGGTCCTCGCGCTCGGCCTCAACGACATCCTTTCCGAAACCTGAAGAGCTGAATTCGAAACCCTAGAGAGAGAAAGCGAGGGTTTTTGGGCAGAGAGAGAGAGGGAGAGAGAGAGAAAGGAGGGTTTTGATCTTTCGAAGAGTTTGAAGAGAGAGGGATAGAACAGAGAGGTTATATATAGCGTTGTTGGGGAGGGGATGTGGTCTGTAAATGGGCTTGGATCGGCCTGAAATTACGAAACTACCACTCGGTTTGAATTTGAAGATGAGGGAAAAAGTGAGTTTGATTGGCGAAGGGGAGAGAGAAAGATTTGTAAAGGATGAAAAAAAAAGTGTTGGTGCTTGTCCCTTTGGGATGCCATTGGCAATAACCCATGTTTGTAGCTTTCTTATCCAAGTATTAATCCTGGAAAAATAACAATAACAGTAACAATAAGTTAGTATATTATTCTCAAGATAAAAAGAAAAAAAAAGAAACAAAGGATCAACCCCTTATTTATAAGATAGTTTGACAAATTTTGGTTCAACAAAAATTTTAAATTGCTTTTTCTACCAAAAATGAATAAAATGGGGTAAGTTTTATGGTACGCCCATCATGTTCTGTGGTGAACTAGAAAAATATCACTTTACAGTGTGTTTGGTAGGGTAGAAAATAGAGAAAAGAAAATAGATGAATGATTTTACAGAGGAAAATGAAATTTTTGATTCTTTGGTAGAGAGAAAATGAGAAAGGAAGGAAAATGAAAATTCATGGGGTCCACCAATTTTTAATCATTCTAACTTTAAAAAGAAAAGATGAGGAAAAAAATTTGACAAAAAATTGAGATATAAAATAACAATTTTAACATGCATTATTCATCATATTTTTATTTGTATTGGGATATTATTGTAAAATGTCTTAAATTTAATATTTTCTTTTCATTTTTCTTTCTCTTCTACCAAACAACATAAGAAAAAATCATTTTACTTCCTTTACCTAAGTATTTTACTTCTCTTTCTTTTCTCTTTTCTACCCATCCTACTAAACTTAGAGAGGTAGTAGCCAAATACTCATCGTGAATTTATGGTTAATATGCAAATCAATTCAAAACTTTTGGATTAGAACTTTGCAACCAATCTAAAAGTCCTTGTGATACATGTTCTAATGCAATCTAATTGAAAAAAGTAGAGAAAAAAAAAATTCAAAAATGCACTTAATCTAGTAAAAAAATACTATTTACGTCACTCTAAACAATTGATATTTAATTAATAAAGAGAAAAATAAAATACAATAATAACACTTAATTATTTTGAATTACATAAATAATAGACTTGTACAAAACTAAATATTTCCCAAAAAAAGTATCGGGTTAACTTACGGGAGAAAGAGGGAAATAGGCCAAGACTTGAGATGAATTAAAATTAATAGGCTAATAGTTTACATAAGTTAATAAATAGGTCAAATTACTGTTTTCATCAATAACTTGTCTGGTTATGAACCATAACTTGACAAGTTATTGTCCATAATTGTCCATAACTTCTCTGGCTATGAACCATAACTTGATAAGTTTGTCCATAACTTATCTGGTTATGAACCATAACTTGACAAGTTATGGCCTATTAATTTTTATAACTAAAAATTGACCTATATACTTTCTTTAAATTTTTCATATTGGCTTATTTTCTACTATTTTCCTTAACTTTAGTAGATTGATTTCTATGGGTTATGTGGATTGAGCCAAGGTGTTGGGCCTCTAAATTTAGGTCCTATAGGTAGTACAATGGACTACCACCAACAAAATTGTATATGCTAGTGCCGGTTCATGGAAACAGCTGTAAATCCCTAGCAATATGTGAGACTACCTTAAGTAACATGACAGGTCGTAACGCTAGAAACTATTGACTCCAAAATAGATGGTGGGTGACGATCAGTAACCTGCTATAATGAAGTCATTTATTGCAAAAATTTCTTTTTATTGGTAAACATTGTGGAGTTTATTTTTTCAAAAAACAAAAAAAAAAAAAACTAATAAGAAGGGTTGACTGGATTAATTTTCAAATTTTAAAACTTCCCAATAATTTTGGAGATTTTTTCTTTATATATGTTTGTTTTAACCCAAAAAAAAAAAATCCTTAATTTTCTTAACAGAACAAGTACATAACCAACTAATTCTTGACAAACATTTTTTTTTTTGAAAAAAAAAAAAGCCAGGCTGAAAAATGAAAGTGCAAATAAAAAGCTAAAATTTTTTAAAGTATTCTGTTCATTTAGGCATCCATCACAAATTTTTTTTTTAAAACAAAAAAAAAAATAACAGTGGCAAATATACAATATGTCCAGTTGCTAAGATATACTCCTCAATGGGTATGTGCAAGTATAAGACTAGATTTGTGGTGGTCAATGATCGTCTCACAAAAAATTTTGTAAATTTGGCTCTATGCACTTTTTAGGAATAGTTATTCATATATACCACTTTGTTGCTAAAATTAGGCTTAATTTTTCTTTAAAAATGATATTTTAAATTTCAATTATTTTTATGTATTCCTCTAATTCAACCAAAAATTAGAATTAGTTGAAGTCTTACGACCCAATGGCCAAATTGATGATAAAATGGTGATACAAGTTACAACAGGACAACTTGACTCTAAAACAACAAGAAATTTGGTGGGTTGTTCATAGGGACAAAAGGGTTTGGATGGTGTTAGCGCACTTGACACGAAATGAAAAGCGGATCAAAATTAGTCTCAAAAAATCACTTAGCCTTAAATCGATTTGTCTTTCTTAACCAATGGTTAAACTTGGGTATAAGATAGCTTGAGTAGACCAAAACCTTACAGAATAGTTTGCATATTTCTACTACTCTTTTTAAGACAACCATCTCAATAGCTATAGACCTTATTCTTTAAAATTAAATTCAAGTTTTGCATAAAAAAGTTAATTTGTTTTTTACGTGTAATTAAATGATGAAACTCGAGTTAAGTGGACAAGGTCGGCTATTTCCTTTTGAAAACCTTAAGCTGCAACCAGGAGTACGCTATGGGTTTTGACACGAGGATTCAACTTAAACATGTTATGAAATTTGGTGGTCTAGGATTTGGAAAAAACAAAGAAGTGCAAACCAATTTACGGTGTGACGTTCGTAACAGTTCTCATATGTACTTGTAACTTTTTAGTATGCCACAATAATATTGAAGTAAGTTTAATATGAGTTGTACATGAACGTACAAACAAATATTACAATGACAAACAAAATATAAATTAAGTGTCGGATGAATACAACCGCCGGGAGACATTCCGGGAATAATAATATGGGCCCAGTGATACCTTTTTTTCATGTGGCAACTTTGTAGTCATACAGTGACGAGTGACACTAAGATTGTTATTATGTTTGTACATGTTAGAAAAAGGATATGAAGCTAATTCTAAAGCCTTGGAAATGTTGTTTACAATTCTTGTGAATCACAGCACCTCATAGACAAGTTGCAAAAAGAATGGTCAAGTTGGCGTCCATTTATCCATTTGCACCGCAACGCTGGCTGCCAAGCGCACACCTAACGCACACAAAAACAACTATCCGCCGAAGGCATATGCCTCCAACGAATATATATACATCTCATATAAAAATATCAAAACAAAGCATCTTAGGACGTTTAGTTGATGAATTTAAAATTATGATTTAGAATTATTTTCAATTTATGTGTATTTTTTATGAGAGAAAATACTGTAGCGAAAATATAAAACAATGAAAATAATTTTTGTGAAGAAAGTAGAAAATGATTGAAAGTTATTTTTCCTTTTCTGTTTTCATTTTTTAGTACTTATCAACAAAGTTATATTAAATAATTAATTATTAATTACTAATTATATTATATATTAGTAATTATACTATCTATTAATTAATAATTAATAAATAGATATACTTAATAACTAATGAATAGATAGTAATTACTTAATTATTAATTAAATATGAATTTATTACTATTAAGTTTTTAATTTTATCAATAAAATAATAAATAATATAGTAATTAATTATTTAGTTAAAGATTAATTACCAAAAATTAATTATATAGCATATTAACAATAAAACAAGTAATAATAGGTTATTAAATAAATAATTAATAATTAATATATCAATCATATATTATGTTAATTGTAATCTATTAATTAGTAAATTGTTGGTAAATAAAAAATAAATAGTAATTACTCAATTAATAATAAATATTAAATTATAATTACCAATATGTAATATACTAATCAATAATAATTAATAATTGATAATTATTAATTAATTATTATAAAATGAATAATTACCAAAAATTGATCATGTGATATATCAAATAATAGATTATTAAATAAACATTAGTAATTAATTAACTAATTATTTAATTATGTAATTCAAAGTTAATAATTTAAGTAGTAAATAGAATATTAATAAATTATGTATATATTAATTATTTTTCTTAATACACTAATTAATTACTTATAATCTTATAAATATGAGGACATTACTAACATAGTAATTACCTATAATTAATTACTAATTACTATTTTTTAATTATTTAGTATATTGATTTATTATATATAATTTAATTACTAATGTACACAATAATGATAATTTATCCATTATTATATTATTAATATATTAATTTTTATTTACTAAATAATTATCAATTATTAATTACTTAATATTAATTTAAGATTATAAATTATATGTACTCAAAATAAACATAAATGTAACCAAACATGATTTTATTTTTTTATCATACTTAAACTAATCTCTTGAAAGACTACCAAACGTAATTTCAGAATCAATTTTAAAATCAGTTTGAGAATGATTTTCAAAACAATCTTATTTTCATTTTTGTATAAAAAATAAAACTATTTTGAAAACATTATCAAACGGACCCGTAGTGTTTTTTTTTTTTTTTTTAAATTACATTCATAGTTTGGTTTAAGAATAGCTACAAGCCAATTATTTTAATTAACCCTTCTTTTGCTTATTATTTTTTGTTCTGGAGAACCCGAGTAGAAGCCAATCCAACTATACCCTTTTGACCAGAAAAGCAATACACATGGGACGTCAACTTTGAAGAAGCCACTGAACAATAACATTTCACATTCACCAAAGTAGTAGCCTAGCTAGTAGCATTGAACTTACTCTGAAGTGGTTCGATAGATAAGAACTTTTAGGTATGTTGGCCGCACATAAAGAATTGTTCCCATAGACATTTTTAAAAAATAACATGGTAATATAATCTCCGGTTTGGCCATTCATTATTAATTAAAATTAAAATACGTTCATTTCACCGATATAAATTTAAAATTAAAATTAAAATTTTATTACAGTAAAAAATTTTAAAAAATAATCACATTTAATTTTTTTACTACAATAAAAAAATTCTACATAAAATCGCATCTAACTCAAATTAAAAACTCAAATTAACATTTAAAAACTCAAAGCAAAGGAAGAATAATATTAAGAATCTCAACTATAAGCACAATTTTTATACAACTCAGTGATAATTTTATTAATAGAATGAGATTGATGTGACCATCTTTTAATCAATTACTAAAAAAATTATAATACCTAATAAATTAATACGAGATTTCATGTCACTGACATTATTCATATAAGACTCAGCATCGATGTCGGCCCCATTGGTCTGAACTTCAGCCAAATAGCCCATCACCTTCAGCATATGTTCGTTTATGGAAGACCCAACCTTCTGTATGCAGTTAATGAGGTTACTAAGGGCTTCCCGACGTTTTTCAGCGGCTTGGCCACCGAACATGTCCTCAAGATTATCGATAATCTGACGAGCAGTTATGTAATCTTCATGTTGTGCTTGTAGCACAATGGACATGCTCGCCATCATATAACAGCGAGTCATATCGTTAGAGTCCTTCCAGCGTTGATACGCTACGAAAACCTCATTAGGAGCATCAACAGGTGACTCCGGAGGACAAGGTGTATTCAGTACGAAATTCAGTTTCTCAAAGGTTAGGACGATCTTTAAGTTCCTTTTCCAATCGGTAAAATTCTCACCAGTTAAATTGTGTTTATTAAGTATCGACGATAATGCGCTAGAAGACATTTTGATCTACAATAAACATTCATATATCTAGTATAAGCAAACTTGCATAAACATTTAGTAATCAAACATATATACATGTTATAATGCAACAAATATGTTTGTGTGTCAAAACCTTGAAAAATCACAACCTCACAACGATAATTCCAAACTCAAAATTTTGTAAGTCTCCTAGGGGAGATCATGCAAAATTTAATTAGGAACACGGATCCCCTCCGATCAATATATACCATCCGGATCAATCTATATCCAACATATACTGATACTCATTTTCTTTGGCCATTAATTTAATTAGCAGAGCTCCTAGGGGAGATTAATAATTAAATTAATCTTGAGTGTATAACCATCGTTTCAACTATTTGATCCATATTTTACAATTGTCACCTAGGGGTGTACAAACATAAAATATGCTCAAATAAATTATCCACTCGGAGATCCACACCGGTGCATAACGAATCCCTTCTTGGGGGTCGGTATCACCATGTGTTACCTGCGGACTAACAATGTAGGCCATGGGTCTTTTCTTCAAAAAATCCTCACCCACTCAATCTTTTAGAAAACAAGGTTTTATGTTAAGAAATATGCATGAACAATTTTAATGAGCGGCACTCCCTATTCTACATGACATGTTATCACATATATAGCAAATCATATTACATGCAATCATACAAAGCAATGAAGCTAGGCAACAAGCATAATAATAATAATAACCGTAATATTATGGTTCCATTCTAGAGAAAAAAAAAATAAAGATTACTAAGAATAATCGAAACATATATGGATCCTTCATCTTGAATCTTCCCAGTTGTACTTGAATTCTTCATCACGATCAAATTCTGGTTATCATAAAATTATTTTTCATGTTTTCTTGAAAAAAAAAATCTCAAAAAATTGCAAAATCATATACTGTCTCGTTAGGTCCGGTCGACCAGTGACAGAGCAGTTATACTCAACCGGTCGACCGCCTTACACTAACCGCTCGACCGGTGCGGTCGATCGGTGCCTGTGCGACAATAACCCAGATTTTCAGAAATCAAAGCAGTTTTTTAATTTATTCAAAAAACACAAAATAATTTTATAAACCAAGAAAAATTAGATACTTGCATATCCTTCATCTTCAAGATCCTTGACAAATCTCCTCTAAGAATTTTTACATAAAAATTCCTATACCGTTTTCCGGTTTACAAAATTTCTAATAAAGAAAATAAAATAAACCCTAACGGCGATGATAGGCCGCTTATCTAATTACATTGTAATGAACTAATTCATATACAACTATTCTAAACTCTAAGGAACCATAACCGGTAAAAATTAAATAATGAATAATCATTGATAATTTATAAATAATAATCAATAATAATTATTTAATCATTCATTCACCATATATTCATGATAACAACATAATATAGAAAACCTAGAGTGCCATCTCTCTAAAATATCAATTCAAGCATAAAAGAGATTTTTTTAGATCACAAATCTATGTACATAGCATAATCATGAACAAATAACCATGACTCTGATAGCAATTGTTGAAAAATTAATGGCATCGAGAGCACAGTAAAATTTAAAAATTTTAATCAACGTAAAAGTAACATTTAAAAACTCAAAGCAAAGGAAGAATAATATTAAGAATCTCAACTATAAGCATAATTTTTATACTACGCAATGATAATTTTATTAATAGAATGAGATTGATGTGACCATCTTTTAATCAATTACTAATAAAATTATAATACCTCATAAATTAATACGAGATTTCATGTCACTGACATTATTCATATAACGCGTCATGTTTGGGACCTCGCACAATTATTTAGCAGTGAACAGAGGTGTTCATCTTTGTTCTACACGTGCAAAATACATGACTTGGCACTAACAAGTAGCATTAGAGAACGTGCAAGTGTGGAGGCATGCAAAAGGCCCTGACAATTGTCATTTAGATCAACCAAAATGAAAGAACACGAACAATAATGTGTAATCAATCCAATATAAAAGTAGACCCAAAGAAACAAAAAAAAAAGAAAAAAGGGGAAATTGTTATTAATTAATAACCAAAAAAACAGTCCTAAAGAACCAAACTACCCGATCCAATTAACATCTTTGATTTAGGGGAAACAATCAAGGCAAAGAAGAGTGGTGGTTATCAGACACATGAAGTTCCACGCTAACCCGGTGCACCATCAACTAGCAGCGGGACGCGTTGCACTTGTGCTTTGCCGCGCTACTTTTGGACGCATTTACACGCGCCTTCTTGGTGGCCGTCGGATCCTCTTTGAGGTCAAAGCTCGTCCCATCACCGCCGACCATTTCCACGAACATCCTTTGGAGATCTTCAAAGCTATCTCCCTAAGATATTTTTTCCCAGCAAAAGTATCAGAAACCAGAAAAAAATTTTGTGGGCCATAATATGACGCAAAAATTACAGTTTTGCCCGCAAAAGAATAAAATAGAATAAAGGGAAAAACTCTTACCTCGTCTTTGACATTGTTCATCATGGAAATCATCTCTTGCATAAAATCACAAAACTCCTGAATAAAAATTAATTCAAGGGCACACGAGGAAATCACATAAAGAAGGTAAACTTTTAGTAGTTTAAGATATCAATCAATAGGAAAATAAAAAAAGAAAGTTTCCAATTTTCAGATCAAATGTCGATAAAATCTTTGAATTTCTTGACAAAAAGGACCTGAAAGAGGAGAAAATAGATAAGCGAATAGTGAGAGAAAACGATGCCGTCGTTTTCGTTTCGGGAAATAATCAAAATCAGTTGGGATTGGGAATGAATCCTGCTCAAAACGACATCGTTTTCCTGATTCTAATTCTTTTACCACGCCTTGTGTAGGCTGAAAAAAGCCTGGTAAGAAGAATCAAGGAGAGAGTACGGACTTCGTCTTCTTCCTCCAGGGGGTTGTAGAGCCCTGCGTCGTACATTGACCTCTTCGTCTGGTCAGACAAAACTGCAAATCCGCAGAAACTGAAAATCAATGGCCATGAATGCAATTATTTCAAAGAAAATTATTTTCTCTTTTTTTTTTTGTTTACCGGAATAAGCTTCTTGGATTTGCTGAAACCTTCGTTTAGCCTCGCCGGCGACGGCGGGGTTGCGAGTCCATCTGTCCGGGTGCCACTTCTGAATCAGGTGAAGAGAAGAAAATATACACAACATTCCGGTGAGAAATCGAAGGAAAAGAATAAGAAAATCCGAAGACGAAAGAGAGAGAACAAAACGCCGTCGTTTGGCGGTACTTAACCAAAGCGAGCTTGCGGTACGCCGTGCGGACATCAGCGAAGGAGACGTCCTTGCGAATCCCGAGGACGGCGTAGTAGCACGATCCGCCGTTGGATCCTCCCCGATCCATCAAACGGGAAAGAGAAACGACAGAGAAAAAAAGCCAAAAAAAGAAAAAGATTTCTCTATAACGCTCTTCTCGTCTCGCACAAGAAGAAATTCGAGTCCGATGTATATTTTCTCAGACCATAGAGAGAAAGAGAACACAGAGACCAGAAATGCGAGAATATCTTTGGGAGAAAAGGAAAGGGCGAGAGAGAGAGAGAGTATTTTTATTTTTTATTTTTTATTTTTTTCGAGGGAAATTAGACTTTTGTATAGGCTAGAGAGAGAGAGTATTTTTATTTTTTATTTTTTATTTTTTTCGAGGGAAATTAGACTTTTGTATAGGCTAGAGAGAGAGAGTATTTTTATTTTTTATTTTTTTCGAGGGAAACTAGACTTTTTATAGGCTAGAGAGAGAAAATATCTTTGTGATGAGAAAGGGCTATAAGCGGGTGAAGGAGAAGATATGAAGGAAGAAAGTTCCAGACATTTCTCTCTACGTTTGATTAAGGAAGATGGTGGCTAGATATTTTCTTGCCACCACTCTAAATTGCCCCTGACGTTTAATTTAATTACGATGATTTGCCATTAACAGATTAACCTATTTCTTTTTTGTTTT